GCAAATTTTCAAATATATATCGTGATAAATATTTTTGGCCATATCGCCCTGCTCTAAATGCTAGAATTCCTGCTTTCCCATAAACGATCCAGGTGCACTGTTCTGACTCTTCCTATCTTATTCAAAAACCAGTGCTGCAGTAGCTTTTCAGATGGCAGGGATCACCCACGTCCTTCAGGTTTCCTGGGTCAGTCTTTCCTTGCATATTGGGAACACCCCACTACACCTGCTGCTAAACTGAATTTGGATAATGAATGTTCACCTGCTCCCTAATTTATTGCCCCAAGTGCTGTTTTAACAACATTTTTTATTATTATTTTTTAAACATTGGCCCTCTGCTTAATCACTAATATGAGTCATTAGTGTCACATAAATTTTGTGCTGCAGAATATCAGTATTTTTTTTCTTTCGGTCACATAAATCACAACCGTATTTTCATTTCATATTTAACATTTGTCTCCTGGAGTAATTTATTTAATCATTTATGCTCGGTCTTGGCCGTTGTAAGTCGTTTTAAGAAAAATGCTTAAAAGTTTCTGTGAAACCCAAACCACTGGCTGTCTCTATTAGGTTGACATGACTAGTGGACATGCCTTGTCACCTCCCATGGTATTACATATCGACAGTGTTATTTATTTATTTATTTATTTTGCTGTCAGTACTCTGTGTTGGTGACCAGAGGGGACAAAAAAAAAAAGATCAATAGTGACACTGAGACGTTTGATTTTTTTTTTTCCCCTGGCTTGCTTTGGTGCCATGCAGCACTCATGTTACAGCAGTACCTGATTATGTGCAGTTAGACAATGTCAGAGTCCCTGAGGAGCAACAAAAACATGCAGTTGCTATAGAGTCTGCAGAAAATGGAGACAAAAGCTTCGGATTTGGAGGTGAAGGAGCAACTGTGTGTGTCCACCTTACTTTTATTTCATCATTTTAATACACAGGGATCAGCTGTGGGATTTGAGTTGCGCTACTTGGCTCGATGAAGAGTCATTTGATTCAATTAAAAAAAAAAAAGTATCCTAGATAAACAGCTCACATATTAAGCTGCACCATGTTCATCTTTGGCATATTTGGCATATTAATTTACACTGTTGTTATAAGCATCTGCTACTTTCACCTCTGTCCAGTCTGTGTGTCACTTTGGTCAGCTGGGTATCCATATTCAAGTAGTCTGCATGGTACTAGACTACAGTGTATTGTTCTCTGCTCTTCATTCTGCCTGTTTGATAGAGGTGGGACTCATCAGACACTGATACAGTATTATTGGGATTTTTTGCGATATTGATAAGCTTTATTGCGATTTATCACTTTTTCTCACAAAGTTAAACTTTGTCAATATTTCCTTTTTTAAAAATTTAAAACAATTAAAGGTAGCCATTGATTTGGTTTAAAAAAAAAAAATTTAATTCGTTAATTTAAGATTTGTAGATACATGGAGGTTTCTGTCTTATTTACTACTACTAGTGTGTATTAAGTAGCAGCTTTTTCAAGTTAAGTGTATCCAGCGTTGGATGGTTTTTCGGTTGAGATGAGTTTGTTTGGCTAACGTTATTTCGGGATGGGCGTGTATGAGATAAGCTTTTTTTGTTGTTCAGTATTTAAATGTAGGGTCTTTACCTTACAATATAAAGTGGCTTGAAGCAACTTGATTGAATTGTTGAATTTGATGCTATATAACTGAAATTGAAATACATTTATACCAGTGTACAAGAAAACGTAGGCAAGTTCTTGTCTCATTTTGGGTGTTGAAGTATGTTGCTTTTCTTTAACAAATGGGATCCTCTACACGTGCTACATAATCATATAAAAGACAAAAAGGCAAAGATTTGTGCTCCTGAGTCATCGGCCTTAAGTGTGCCACAACAATGCTGAGCAGGTCCCCTCCTCATACTCACTGGGACATAAAACTTTTTGATGTCTCTCGCCCCCCACACACTTGTCTTTTTTTCTCTTTCAGCGCAGCCACACTCTTCTCTTTCCTCTTGCACTCTCTTAAAGGCCACAGCAGTCTTTCAGCCAGCCTTCAGCTTTTCTTTCAGTTGAAACCCCTCCTGTCACCACCACCGCCACCCTCCCCACAGCTCGAGACAAAGAGAGGAGAGTGACTGTGGCGCTCTGTAGCCAGGTGTTCTCCATTGCTGCCCGGGGCCGTAATAGCACCAGGCCTCACACTGCAGCTGCCCTCCCCAGCCTCCCATTGTGTAGCTCCATTGTTCAGCCTCCCACCCCTCGTTGATTCATCGGCCACACAGGGGAAGCCCTTTCAGGCCGTGGAGTGTGTGAGTTAGCGTGCGTGTGTGTGTGCCGGTGCACGTCGAGTACGCGTGCCTTGGGGAAACTGGGTGTTGCAGACATCTGCCCACAGCCACTCCCCTCCTCCCCCGCCTCTTGCCTCTGCACCTCATTGTAGGGCTGCTGCTCCTCCGATTGGTTAGAAGCAGCCACTCTAAACGAGGGAATGGCTGACATTGTTGGGTCCATCTGTTCTGCCACTCATTGTCCAACTTGCCTGCTTCTGCAGAGGGGGGAAAAAAAGCACACACAGCTCTGGAAGACAGTCGGACAGTGAGGACAGAGGTGTGAGGCTGGAGCTGGATGCTCTAGAAGAAAGAAGAAATCGATCTTGGATGTTGTTGCTGTTCGAACTTTGGGATTGGTTCTTTCTCAGTTTCACCTGCAGCGTTTTTTAATCGGCTTTTCAAGGATTTAAAGATGTTGAAATGAGCTAATCACATTTCCTCTCTTCATTGTTTGTTGCACTTTATTGGTCTGGTGAGTGTGATGGAGTTCCCTCCTCTCTATTATAACCTGACTTTTATACTGAAATTTATCTTCTGCTTGCTATAAAATAGAAATATTGGCTTTTGTATGACAGGTTGCTCCTCTCGAGCCTCACTAGGCTTCCGCTGCGCTGCAGGATCATCAAAAAAACTGATGCTGGCATACAGGGAGTAACCTAGACTCCTTTAAGTTTTCAGAAAGGTTCGAGTCATTTATAATTCACAAGGGCAAATTCAGATTAAAGAGGAAAAGATGGAGCCCACTTTCTTTGTTGCTTGTGAAATATCGCTGAAAATGGATGCAACTTGCAGAACCCATTAGTGACTTTTTACCACAAGAGTATTTTTAAAAAGATTCTTGGTGTGCAGGATAAGAATTTATAGTGCTGTAGCACCTGCCTAAACTTTGCTCACTTCTGCCGTCACTGCAGTTGTTCAGATTTGTGTGATGTGTGTTGATATGAAACTTGATGCAGGAGGGATGGGCTTCCTGTGATGCTGGTTAAAAATATATATTAGTGTCACATTAGTGGATAAAACAAAAAAGTTTTCAGAAAGTTTTCTATAAGGTGCTGCCCTTAGAGAGAGAAAGAGTGTGTGTGTGTGTGTGTGTGTGTGTGTGTGTGTGTGTGTGTGTGTGTGTGTGTGTGTGTGT